CCTTCTGGCCCCATCTGAGCATCTCTGAAGGCAGCCTCCTTTTGAAAGCATATGGTGTGCACTTCCTGTCTCTCCAGCAGATTTTAGAGAATGCTTATCAATGCTGTTCCAGAACCTCATGGAACACCAGTAAGGCACAGCTATTACCTGGGTGCTTTTTGCATTATTAAAATGTCTCTCTTTTCCTTCTACTCTATCTTCTTTCCCTCCACCTCTTTTTCCATCATAAATCAGAGACCTGTTGTGATTTTACTGAAAAGAATCAATAAAATAAGTTACTGTACTTTAAATCACCATCATTTCAAATTTGAATAAAGCCTGAGGTTCCTGAGAAAACAAGCCTTTTTGTTTAAGTTGCCCTTTTGAGTGTAAAAGCATGCCGTAAATCACGCAGTGGTTTAAAGTCAGGTAAGGTGTGTGTCAGGGTTGTAGCCTTTTGCCATACTAATTCAATCTGTATGCTGAGCGAATAACCCGAGAAGGTGAACTCTATGAATAAGAATGGGAACACCAAAGACACAAGGAAAACATTAGCCCACGAGAAAAAATGGCCACATAAACCAGAGATTCCATCATCTTGAGACCAGAAGAGATAGATGATGCCCGGCTACCACCAATGACTGCCCTGACAAGAAACACAACAGAGAGTCCTTGATGGAGTAGGAGAAAACTAGGTGCAGAACTCAGATTCACATAAAAAAAGCAGACTTAATGGTCTGACTGAGACTAGAGGAACCCACGAAGCCATGCACCTGGATGCTCTATTAACCCATAACTAAAACCATTCCTGAAGCCCACTCTTCAGACGAAGATAAGACAGGACTATAAAACATAAAATAATACTCATGAAGAGTGTGCTTAGTTTAAGCAGATACACAAGACCAAATGGGCGGCTCCTGTCCAGAGGCAGGATGAGAAGGCAGGAAGGGACAGGAGCTGGTTGGATGGACACCGGAAACCTGGGGTGGAAAGGGGGAGTGTGCTGTCACATTATAGGGATTGCAACTAGGGTCATACAACAATATGTATATAAATTACTGTATGAGAAATTAACTTGAGCTGTAAACTTTCACCTACAGTACAATAAAGAAAAAATAAATAAAAGAACGCAGCATCAGGATTGGAGGAAGACTCATTAACATCCTGTGTTATGCATGTGGTACAACTTGGTGGCTGAAAGTGAAGAGGACTTGAAGCACTTACTGATGAAGATCAAAGACCACAGCCTTCAGTATGGATTACATCTCAAAATAAAGAAAAGAAAAATGCTCACAACTGGACCAATAAGCAACATGACGATAAACAGAGAAAAGATTGAAGTTGTCAAGGATTTCATTTTCTTGGACCCACAATCAATGCCCATGGAAGCAGCAGTCAAGCAATCAAAAGACACATTGCATTGGGCAAATCTGCTGCAAAAGATCTCTTTAAAGTAAATTGGTTTGGCCATTTTCTAGGTAAACTGTATCTTTAATTTTTTTTAACTGATAGAAAATATTTATTCTAAGTTAGTTATTTTATACAGTAGTTTTCCCTCCCATAACAGACTTGTAATAACCACATGTATTAAATCTGTAAATAATGTTATCAAAAAAATCTTAAATCTTTGAAATCTCACAAAAATTTTTATTTCACAATCCGTTCTGAATATTAAGGCTGCAAAAATAATACATTTCCTATATCCAAATATTTCATAGCTGAACCCAGAAAGGGGGGCATAAAAAAAAGAAAGTTATAACACCCTATTTGCTTGGTTAAAGGCTAAAGGTACCTGCACCACGAAAAACAAAACAAAATATCTAAGTTATCATCATTTAATACAATTACAACTCCAACAGTCGCTCTGTCACTGACAATGATTGCCCGAGCACAGGGGTGAGTGCCCCATGGGCTGCAAATAGAAGCTGCTACTGCAGACCCATGTCCCCTCTCTGAACTGCCAGCTTCCACCTGTGCATCGCCCCATATGTACTATGAGTGTATATAATCATCTATTTTAAATTCTTTATCACCATGCAAACTTCTGTTTTAAGCCAAAAATAGGGAAGAACAAGAGCTAAACAAGCCCATCGCCCTATCTCTAGGATATGATTATTTCCCTTGTGCACAAAGTATTCAACAACAACTTAAGAAAAGGAAAATAACGATTTATTATGTACACTCCCTGAACATGCGAGTCCAGTTCACAGGGTGACATTTAACCAAGGTTGTGATAGTCCTACTCCCAGGCCTCGTCATCTGATGTGTCAGTGCCGCTGGGATCTGTGTCTGAGTCCTCGAACTTGGCTTCACAAGTGCTCCTCCAAGGAGAGAAGAGGCTGGAAGTAGGGCCCTGTGAGAAGCCCTTCTTCCCAAAGCCATTTCTTCTGAGCTGCTCTGTCTTCACGTGGAAGTCTCTGAGCTTATCCTCTGTGAGAGGGAGGCAGTCCTCCTCATTTTCGGGATATTCCTGCCATCCCATTGCTTTCAGTAACCTGTGTTCAGCTTCCAGAGAGTGCAAGAGGACCTTCCCTTCGTGCAGTACAGGGACAGCGAGGCCTTTCTGAAGACAGCTGTCCTCTCCATTCTCTTGGGTTTGGCTGTATGGTTCTTCTGCCAATCCTCCAGCTTGTCTCCACTCCTGTTCTCTGGGAAGTCTCCATTCTGGTTATGCTTCAGAATCTTCAGGGACGCACTCCTCCTGTCAGTTATTCAGTGGGTCAACTTGGTCAGATGTGAGGCTCTGGTCTCCGTTGGTGGGGTGGTGCCAGGGGGCCTGCCTTTGGGACAGCTGAGAACTGTGCCACCAGCCAATGCCACTGGTTTGGAAATAGAGATGGGACTGGTCCCAGCGGACGTGAAGGAGCAATTCAGGGAAAGAAAAGGAACCTTGCTGGGACATCGGTTTATATACTGGAGGCAGGCCATACCCCCAAGGAAACACCATTTTCAACTCATTGGCTGGTCATAACAGATCTTTTCATGGAGATGATCACATTATATCAAATCCCATCGAGGTGATCAAATTATACAAGATCACCTTGTGGGGGTAAACATGTTATATAAGATCTCATGATGGAGGTAATCATATCAGATCAGATCTCATCAAGGAGGTTATCGCATTATATCAGATCACATCACGGAGATGATCGTATTATATCGGATCTCATCATGGAGGTGATTATGTTATGAAAGAACAATCAGTCCAATGTCTGCCAAACCACTGAGAATCATAGCCTAGCCAAGTTGACATATAATATTAACCATCACACATGCCAAGCACACTATATGAAAGCATAATCTGGTGTTGTTTTCTAAAATGGACCCAAACCAGCTGGGCAGGAGACGCCCATTATGCGGAGGCTGGCTGGGAGTGGATACTATCAGCTGGCCCTGTCACTCATTGCTGCTCTGGAGAAGGTTCAGACTGCAGGCTGTCTTCCCTTCGGCCCCGTCTGTGCCTGGCTTGTTTCAAAATTCCTCCATATTGTATTATGTACTAGAACTTCATTCCTTCTTATGGCTGAAATTTTAAAAACTGATTTTTTTGTAGTGTACCAACCTTGCCCTTTATTAACTGTAAACCATTTTCTTTTTTTAAAGTTCCTCTCGTTTATTTCCAGATTCATTAAATCTTATAATATCCTTTAAACAAAAGAAAATTAACCACAGGCTAAATTATTTAATATTATCTTCATTTTGAAATGCTCTTCTGCCTTCAAAGAGAAAAGTTGGTAGGTAGGACATTGTTCCTGTGAAGATTGTACCCTGAGTCACAGGTCACAGAATACCTCAAAGGCCGCCTGAGGCACCCCTCTCAAATTACAAGTGAGGAAAAAGGCTCAGAAGGGGTTGCTGGTCTTACCTAAGACCACACATGAGTCAGGAGTCAGAGCCAGGGCTACAGTCCACGGGACTGGACATCTGGGGGTCTGCACCCTGTATAATGAGGGACTGTCTTGTCACTGTGACACTGGTTCTGCGGGCAGTCCTCCTGGCTCCACACTGGCCCCTCCTCTCTCTGGCCTCCCACAGCAGCAGGCCAGGCGTCTGGCCCCTCTGAGGAAACACTATTTCCTCCTTGCTCACATGCCCTCTATGACCACCACTTTCATGTCACTGTCCTGGTTTGGGGGTGGGTCAATGTGAGGGTCATCTAGCTGGCTGGCAGGACGTTTCTGGGGCTGCACCTCATACGCAGCCTCGTTGTTGGATCTGATTCTTGGATTCAGATTCACATGTTGTGCTGGAATGCTAACTGATGAATTTACAGTTGGTCTTTAGAATTCTTTGCCAGACGACTGACAAAGGGCAGGGTCCTTAACAGTCTGTGAAAAGAAAATACTGAGACCACATTTCCTATTTTCTGTCCCTTATCGAGGCTGGTCAGTCCCGTCCACTGATACTTTGTTCCTGTAGACAAGAACCTATCATGAAGTGTCAGGACTCCGAGGAGCTTTTCCAACTGGCCAAGAGCCCTTGTTCTTTGTATAGGTACTGATTTAAACCCTATACAAGTTTGTAGAGCAGTCATATTTTGGCCTGACTCAGGCAGCCTGGGCCTCACAGAGTCCTGGGGAACACAGTACCAAGGAGCGAAGGCTGCGCAAGGCCGTGAGGAAAGGGAGGCGAGGAACATTGCTTCTCTAGAGTTTCTGGTTTGTCTCCCCAAATGCACCGCAGTCTCTCTCTGGACCTAGCAAAGGTCTGAATGCGGGCAGCGGAAGCCACTAAGGGGTTCAGGTGTCCAAACCTCAGCTACCCGAGTCTTTGGGACTGGTTTCAGAAATGGAATTTGCTCTCTCCCTTCTTCTGGGCACAGTGCCAGGAGCTTTGGGCCTTGTGCTTCTACAGGCCAGGCAGTGGGTATGTCAGGGGCAGGAGGTGGGGGTGGGGAAATGCGCCTAATTAGTGGGGGGCGGGGGCGAGCATCAAGGAATGCAGCAGCCTGGAAGGGTCTTGATAACTTCCAACCTCAGCTCATTTGATGCAGGTCAAGTGAGACAGCGGGAACGGGCACCATGGCCATGACCTTGGGTTACTGGGACATCAGCGGGGTGAGCAAGGGGTCTGCTTCCTCAGGTGGGACAGGGCCTTGGTGGCAAGGAAGTGCTGAGTAGCTCCAGGACCAATTCTAGAAGATTCCTCTTTCAGGCTTTGCTGGAACTGAGCCCCAACCTGCAGCCTGGGTGCCTCCATGCTGGGTATTTTAGGCCCTGATGGGGTGGGGGGGTGTCAGGGGCAAGCTCTGAGGGGTTTTTTCACTTGTTTATGAGGAGAGGGGAGGATGGCTCCTGCTTACTTGAAAGAGATGAAATCCAGCAGGCAGGGTCCCTCCATCTCTGACTCTTCCAGCTGGGTCATGCCATCCGCCTGCTCCTGGAATACATAGACTCAAACTATGAGGAAAAGGAGTACACTGTGGGGGACTGTAATGGCACCCTTGGGTTGGCCCCTCTGCCAACTAATGTTGATTGGTAACAAGCAGCCTGTGCCCTGGCCACCTGTTGCCCACCTCTGCAGGGCCTCCACCAGCTGGATCTGGGGCCTGCCCCTTCCAGGGTTCCCTTTGGCTATGCAGCTCTGGCCAGCCGCACAGGTTACTGGGAGGGAATTGCTGCCTCCACCCCTTATCAATAATTGGAATCAGTTCCCCCTTAGGGCTTGCCTAAACCTTTTGTAAGCCTTACTCCTGGGAGAGTGAGACTTAGTGGTCTGTCAGATTCTGGATCCACCTGTCTCAGGGAGTCTTGCAATGACTCTTGGTATGGTTTCTGGGGAAAGAATGTTGGGCTACAAGGAGTTTGTTTTCATTTCATTGTTTCCACCATAGACTATGACAGAAGCCATTGGTTGAATGAGAAATTCAAGCTGGGCTGGACTTTCCCAGTGTAAATACAGGGTGTGGGAGAAAGTGAAAGGCGACTCTCCCTCCCTCCTTTCCCCAGCCTTGAGGTTTTAGGATCAGGTGCTTTCTACTCCACCTCTCTCATTCCTAGTTCTCTTCACTGCCTTTCCATTGTGTTCCCTATTCCAGATCAAGCATGCACTGTACATATATTTATTTAGTGCCCACCAAGGGGTTACAGGTACCATGGGCCAGGCTCTCAGTGTTCCAGGTCCCCGTCTGCCCTTGCTCAGGGGATGGGGGTGCTAGGGAGCCTGATGGTACAACAGACCTGCCTGGTTGCCATTGCAGCTGCTCTACTTAATCGATGGTGCTCACAAGATCACCCAGAGCAATTCCATCCTGTGCTACATTGCTCTTAAGCACAGCATGTGTGAGTGGGTCTGGGGGCAGGTGCGGGGACCCAGGAGGCTTGGCGGCCATTCCCTGGGTTTGGCTGGGGTGGGATGTTGAGGGTGAGTGTCTGACCTGTGGGCCACGGGTGGGGAGACAGAAATGGAGAAGATCCGCATAGACATTTTAGAGAACCAGGTTATGGACACCTGCATGGATTTAGTTATGCTATGCTACAACCCTGATTTTGTGAGTTCCTGTTGGGATGGGCCTGGGCAGGGTTTGTATTGGGAGTCAGGACTCTTGCATTCCCATTTACAGTGCTCCTGTTTGTCCTTTGAATCCTTAGAGCTAGGGATCCTCCAAGGGGTCCTCTATACTACTGCCAGAGTGACCTTCATAACCCTAAATCTCCTCAAAAGAAATCTCTGAATCAATCCCGTCTAAGTATAAGATAAAGCCTAGAATCCCCAGTGTGGAAATTAAGTTCCTAAACAACGTGTTTAACTCGGTTTCCTCGTGTCTTTCCTTTGATACTGATAGTATTCTCATATATCCCAAAATTCACCCCACAGTGTCACCACAGAGTCTGTTTCTGCAGGAATGCCCTCCTCTCCCTCCTTTTCAGCATCTCAAACTCTCCTCATCTTTTAGGAAACTTCTCAAATGTCCTCTTTGAACTTGTGCCACCCTATGAGCTAGAACTTCTCATTCTTTCCTTGAACTCTTGTAGTTCTTATTCCTTTACATGTGAGTCTTACAGTTGGTCAGAGGCTCACAGCACTCCTGGGTCTGACTGACAGACAGGTGGCTTGGTGGAGATCAGTGGTGATAGATTCAAGTAGTGTTGTTTTCCTCTGGGCCTTGCCATGCCTCTCACAGATGGAGCTGATATGTAGTTGGGGTCTAAGAAATACTGGTTGATTAAATGGAAGCGTGAACACTGGCCCAAGGGCAGTCCAGGGAAGATGGTGGCTCTCCCGTGGACACCTGGGTCATTGCAGCAGTGGCAGAGCTGCATCTCTGACCAGGGAGTAGGTCTGAGAGTGGTGACAGCTGTTTTCTGCCCCAGGAGAAGCTGAAGCCACAGTACTTGGAAGGGCTCCCTGACAAGATGAGGCTCTTCTCACAGTTCCTGGGGAAGCGGCCGTGGTTTGCAGGGGACAAGATAAAGGGGGAAAAAGACGGGTACACAGGTTGTCATTCCTCCCAGATGACGGAGCTTCCCATCCACTCATCCTTGGCTTTCTGCAGATCACCTTTCTGGATTTCCTTGCTTACGATGGCCTTAACCTGAACAGTATCTTTGAGCCTAAGTGCCTGGACATGTTCCCACACTTGAAGGACTTCATGGCCCACTTTGAGGTAAGGTCCCCATCCCCCTTCCTCTTTGATGTTTCTTTTTCCTTCTCCTTTCTCCATGACACTTTCCTAGTTTGTGAGCAAAAAATAACAATAACTAGCATTTATGAAGCATTTCATTTATACCAGTACCTGTGCTAAGCACATTACATACATTCTGCCCAATTTAATCTTCACAACATTACTACAAGGTAGATAGAATTATCACCCCCATGTTATAGATGAGGAAACTGAGGCTGAAGGTGGTAAGGAGTTTGCTCAAGGTCACAGAGCCAGTAGTGGTTGTGTCGGGCTTCTTGTCAGCTTCTATGGGCAGGAGTCGATGGCTCTCCTGTGCTGAAAGGGAAAGCTCACGCCCTTTTCCTGCCTGAGTTTCACAGCCCAAGAAAGTATGGATAAGGCAGAACTTGAGGAGTGTGTATGTAGCTGGCAGTAGTAGGACTGAGACAAGGTTAGATTGGTAGTAAGTTCCAAAGACACAGATGTTATCTATACTTGACCCCTGAAGGCTTTGCACCAATCCAATCCATGTTGTGGGCAAGTTCTGAAGTTCCCAGGTCTGTAGAGGTGCTGTGGTTGAGTATTTATGTGGATGCCCCTGTGAAGGATTTTATCTTGAGGTGTTCTATGGTGGGATAGTATCCTTCCCTCCACTCTTCTGCCCTTTCTGCTTCCCCATTGTCCGAGGTTTTCCATCTCTGAGATGGGTCAGTACATTTATTTTACTCATGTTCACTGATGATCTCCTGGATGAGGCACTGGGTCAGGCACAGTAGGGCCTGCAAAGATGGCTGTGTCCTGAAGCCCACTCTCCAAGCTCGGTGTGGTTTCATAACTACAGCTACAGCAGGTGTGGGGGGCATGTGGTGCCAACTGGCTTGTTTGGGAACACAGCCTGGATGCCACCTCACAGCCAGTCATCCATCACACACAGGCAACTGTTTTGAGAGCAACCCAATGTACTTGATTACAGATCTGAGAATCTGAGGCAGTCGCCCAACAGCATTTTCAAACTAGAGTTCTTGTTCCTTTACCCCTTCCCATCAAGAGATCTGATTTCTTGGCCAGTTCTCGTGAAGTTATGGTTCTGGTCCAAACTGAGTACCTTGGGGATGACATAAGAGCTAAGATGACTGTGAAGTTTCACTGTGGACTGGAGCCTGCAGTCTGCCCGGGCTTGGTCCCATTGGGTTTAGGAAGGTCCGCATGTCTTTGAATCCTTTAAAAATTATCTATCCTGGTATGATAGCCCAGAACACATACCTGAATGTCATATGGCCTGGCCTTCTTAGCTAGAGGTAAGTTTGGTTGGGGCACATGAGATTGAGCCTATTTATCAGGCTGAAAAGCTTGGACTCTCTCCTACATGTGGAATAATTACAGCTTGACTTTCACAGGCCTTGCTAGTACAACTTCCCCGTCAACCTGCACCCAGATTTGCTTAGTCATTCCGTGAGATCCTGACCTCTCTTGCAGGCTGCACAGGCATGTTCTGAGCCCGTTTGCCCTGTTCAGGCCCCATTCTGTGAGCAAACCCTGGGGAGGCGGGATTGGACCCAGGAGCCTCCTTCCGCAAAAGGAGAAAGTTTTTTCCACTGGGAGTGAGATGCCCTCCTGTAGGGGAGGGGATGGGGTGCAGCAGAAGGTGCCTAGGATTGGAGAGAAAGAGACCCAGGCTGAATTCCAGCCCAGTCCTACGACCTACTGGGCGAGCGGGCGGAAGGGTATTTGCGAGGATTTTCTGATCCTATATTATAATCTCTGATGGATATAAAGTACTTAGCGCAGTGAAAGATGGGAGCTGTTATTAAGATAAGGAATGAAATGAAATTGGAAGAGTTAATTTACCCGGCCAGGTCCACAGGAAGACAGTCTAATGCCCCAACACTCACCCCAGATGGAAGGACTGTGGCAAGGTCCTACGAGATGGATGTAAATGTGGTAGAGTGTGTTAGATTTCCCCACGGGGCAGCAGACCCTGGTCTTGGGCCTTCTTTTTCCCATCCTCAAGGCCTGAAGAGGATCTCTGCCTATATAAAGTCCAGCCACTTCCTCTCAAGACCTATCTATACAAAGCAAGCCATGTGGGGCAATAAGTAGGGTCTGTAAATCCAGGAGATGGGAAGAGGAGAGAGCCCTGTGCCTGCTGCCCTGGGCTGGGAGAATACCCACCCTCACCCCCCAGCACCATCCCTCTCCTCCCTTTCCTTCCTTTTCATTCCATTCTCCTCCCCCACGGACTTATTTGTCTTCTTTCTTCGCCCTAACTTCATCCCATCCAGGCCCTTTGAAGCCTCAGCTCCCACTTCCCTTCAGCCAAGTCCTCCTCCTGACCTCTCTTGTCTCTGCACTGAAGTCAACCAGACCACCTTTCCCTCAGTGGTGCCTTTTCTCAGACAAGCTCCCTCACCCCAGCCTGTAGGGCTCAGCCCTGAGCTTTCTGCTCTGCCTTGAGAGACCAGTATGGCTGGTGTATGGGCCCTGCTCCCGTGGTCCCCACTCAATCTTGTCTGATCCCTAGGTGAGGGCTAAGCCACACATGCTGTGTCTTGTCCTTATACCTACCAGGACACAGGACTAACTCTGGTAGTGGTAATGGTGGTAGGAGAAGAGGGTGTCTTCCCTTTGTCCTCTGGTGTCCAAGGCAGGGGCTGGGTGGATGGTGATATGTGTGTCTGGGGATGGTTAGAAGGTTTCTTGCTCATTTATGTCTCCTCCCATGTCCCTCTGTCCCTCACCGTGGAGATCTCTACCAAAGGGAAGCCCCTTCTGAGCCTGACACCCTCATTCATTCATCTTTCATTGAGTCCATGAGGACATGTGTGTGTGGTTCTGAGGGCGCCGGGGCAATGGGGAAGGGATTGAGCATTTCACAGGATGTGGGGTCCTGTGGAACTACCTCCTGTCACCTTCTCCTGGAAGGTCTCACTGATCGAGATGCCCTTCCTTTCTGTTCCCATAATAAATCTTAACAAAACACATCCCACTGTATTGTAACTGTTGTTTTACCTAATTTTCTGCCCAACTAGAACATAAATTCATGGAGCAGAGAATCCACGTCTTCTTTGACTTTTTATGTCTGATGTCTATCACAGTGTCTGACACGCAGTAAATATTCAAAAAAAGTTAGAAATCTGAAAGAGTTATCGCCAGGTAAGGGCCTGGAGAACTCTCCAGTCATAATTGGGATATAAAGATCTGGAGATATCTATCTCTGCCATCAAGAAATATAGTAACGTTCACAAGATTTTAAATCAACATGTCTGGGGGAAAGAGCCACTAGCTCTTTCTAGCTTAAGTGGCTATAGGCTCTAGCTGCTAGATGGAAAGCTTGACCTGAAATGGGCAGTCCCTGTTTGCTGGGCCGAAGTGTACCAGCAGGGTGGTCAGGAAGTGGTGTGGGCATTTCTATTAGGTGGTCCACAAAGGAGCAGGACTCATTGGAGAAACATGTGGATAAGCAGGTTCGGTATAACATGGCTGGACTGTGGAGTGGGACCTTGTTAAGGTACAGCCTTTAGACTTGGCCTATAGCAGAGAGATGATTTGGAGAAGAGTCTTATTGTGGTTTGTTCAGATGGTCACTGCCTGCAATGCACATCTTGCAGTTATTAGATAAAAAGGGAGCAAGAGTAACATTAAAAGCAGTGAAGAAGTCAATGATTGATTAAAAAACATAAAACTGGTAAGATAGAAGTTCAGCAAAGCTAGAAGTTTATGAACCTGGTGAGATACAAATTAGTTAAACAAAAAGTTTATTAAACTTTAAAATCTGCGAACTTAAAGACAGGATAAAAATAAAAGTGAATAAAGTAATAGAAGTTAAGGTTGAAACTATGATAAAATATAAAATAAAATATAAGTCGATTCCAACTCATAGTGATCCTATAGGACAGAGTTGCCTGCCCCATAGGATTTCTAAGGAGCAGCTGGTAGATTCAAACTGCTGACCTTTTGGTTAGCAGCCATCACTCTTAACCACTGTACCGCCAGGGCTCCATATCTAGAGTAGGGTGCAGCAAATGTTTTCTCTAAAAGGTCAGATGGTAAAGGTTTTAGGTTCTGCAGGCCACACGGTCTCTGCCGACTGCACAACCCAGTCCTAGGGTAAAAGCAGCCATAGACAATCCTTAAAGGAATGGATGGGCTGTGTTCCAATAAAACTTTATTTACATAAACAAGTGGCTGTAGTTGGCAGACTCCTGACCTGGAAGCTCAAATTTAAAGAGTATAGCTATATAAAAGCTAAAATATTAGATTTGAAATTAAAAAGCTGATTAATTATCAAAGGAAAAAGAGCAAAATAACTCAATGCTTAAAGAAGATGGAAGATATAAGAAACAAAGACAGTTTCAAATGAAAACAATTTCTAAACATCGTGGTCAAATTTTAATGGAAAAGATGAAAACATACATTTCGAAGTGTGGGGTAGAAGTAGCACATCTATGTGCTTCAAACAGAGGCAACCAAAAAAGATGAGTGTATTGTGGCCAGGATCTAGCAGAGGTCCCAAGACCTGGGGCTCCTTGGGGCTCCTCCACTGTTCACACCCCATCAGTGAGTCTTTCTGGATAGGGAGAGGGGGACTCACTCTCTGTGAGCATGGCTGCCTGCACAGTGTCTTCTGCACTGATCTCTTGTCACTCATCATTAATTACAAGTTCCATGCTGAATATTCCCTGTTATCAATGTATTAGTTAAAGAAAGATTAAGCTGAAAGACCCCAAGAATGTAGCTTATAGTAACAAGTTGATTTTTCTTTCATGTAACAGATCCATGGGGAGCAGTCCAGCCCTGCTCCACGAAGTTATTCAGAGACTCAGGTTTATTCCATCTGTGGCTCTGCCATCCCCTAGGGTGCTTTCTCATTTCCTTGATTGAGTTTCTATCATGAGTGTGGGGAGGAAAAGAGAGAGAAAAGCCCTACAAAGCACGTTTCTATCACACAAGTGAGGTGGAACAGCTCTCCCTGTGATTGTTCATTGTCACACCCCTAGTTAATCAGAGCTGGCTTTTCTCAGTGGACTCCACTTTGTGGTGTGGTCTCATCAGCCCCTCACTAAAGTATAGTCCTGTCCAAAATGTCTAATGGCCAACCTGCATTTCCTCCATTCTGTCAGTTCTCTTCCCGTTTGAAACAATTTTGGAAGGAAGCAGGTAGGGTTTAGGTCACAGTTCAAAAAGAGTGAATACAGCTGGAAACATTTCACCATAGAAGATAAAACACAGACCTATCTAATAAATCGAATTTACCCTCAAACTTGTAAAACAACCTTCTCCTTATCTTGTTTGTTCTAGTCCCAGCCCTCTGAACCCTTGAAAACAGCCCCTTATACTAACCTCAAGTTGGCTCTGCCTCCACCTCTGGTCACAGAGCAGCACCTATTCACTTAAAATTCAAGTATACTCACATCCATTTAAACTTTTCTTCTGGATTTAAGTAGTTTCCTCATAAGTTTGCTTTATTTTCTTAATGTTAGTTTCTGTTACACAAATACTGCATAAATACACGTTGTTGTTGGGTGCTGTTGTATTGATTCTGACTCATAGCAACCCCATGTCACAGAGTAAAACTGCCTCATAGTGTTTTCTAGGGTCACTATGAGTCAGAATCAACTTGACAGTAATGGGTTTGTTCCCTTCACCACCACCACCTCTAGTCATGTTTATGGGAGCAGATTGCCAGGTCTTTCTCCCTCAGAACCACTGGGTGGGTTCAAACCATCAACCTTCGGTTAGCAGCCAGGTGTTTAACTGTTGGGCCACCAGAGCTCCTTGCCCTGATAAAAAAGAAAACACAAATACATACACCTTAATAAAAAAGAAAGAAAAAACAAAACAAAACACATTGCATTGGGCAAATCTGCTGCCAAAGACCTCTTTAAAGTGTTAAAAAGCAAAGATGTTACCTTGAAGACTAAGGTGTGCCTGACCCAAGCCATAGTGTTTTCAGTCGCCTCATATACATGTGACAGCTGGACAATGAATAAGGAAGAACGAAAAAGAATTGATGCCTTTGAATGATGGTGTTGGCGAAGAATATTGAATATACCAAGGACTGCCAGAAGAATGAACAAATCTGTCTTGGAAGAGGTACAGCCAGAATGCTCATTAGAAACAAAGATGGCAAGACTTCGTCACACATACTTCGGACATGTTACCAGGACGGATCAGTCCCTGTAGAAGGACATCATGCTTGGTAAAGTAGAGGGTCAGCGAAAAAGTGGAAGACCCTCACGAGATGGATTGACACAGAGGTTGCAACAATGGGCTCAAGCATAACAATGATCGTGAGGATGGCACAGAACCAGGAAGTGTTTCGTTCTGTTGTACATGGGATCACTATGAGTCAGAAACGACTCAACGGCACCTAACAACAACAACGAAATAAAAAAGAAAACCTGGCCTTATCTGTAAAGTTCCCTTTTACTTCCACCCTGAAGCCCGAACTTTTTCCCATTAGCTTGTTGGAGACCTTGTCATCAGTTTTTCTGTCCTTCAGCCTTTTTTTACGCTTTCACATACACACATATATCTGTAGAAAATAGACTTACTTTTTAGATGCCCTAATCAAAACATGAAAGATATCATACTGTACATACTAATCTGCATCTTAATTTTAAAAACTATGAACACCTTAGTATATGCCTCTTCTGGTATATGGTTGAGATTTTATAGATTGGAACAGTTATGTCATAGGATATGATTTAACTTTTAAAAGATATTGACAAATTGGCCTCCATTGGAGCTATACCAAATTACAAGCTCACCACCAGGAAATGCTTATGACTTTCTCAAGGCTTGCCAACACTTTATCAGTTGATTAATATTTGTTCTTCTGATGGAACTATAGAATCACACTGTTGTAATCTATAGTTCTTTGGATTACAGATAAACATTTTTTTACTTTTTTTGTCATAGGTATTTCTAGTTCTCTAACTTGTTCATAGATTTTGTCTGTTTTTCTTCTGAGTTCTTTTAATAACTGATAAGAGTTCTTTATGTAATCATTGGTTCCTTTGTCTCTGTCACCTGTCTTAATTTTGCTTATTTACTGCTTATCATAGAAAAGTTCTTGATTTTGATACTGTTAAATTTGT